CAACTAAAGCCAAGATCATTTTTCTGTTCCCATTAAACCCTCTAAGACTGACTAGCATCTAATTTCTCCTCACAGATATCCCCCTAAATCAATGCATTTAAGTCAGGAATAATGGAAAAGATCACTTACTTATAAAGAAGCTCAAGATTGTGACACAAATTCCCCCTGTCAAATGTATAGAGAATAATGTTAAGCACAAGCAGCTTACCTGTGAACATATCCAGCCATATTGGTAACATCTACTGACAAGTCAATCAGCTGTGTGCAGCAGTTTATCAGGTACATTGCAAAAAATGAATTCTAAAAATTTGAGATGGATGCAAACTCGCAGTTATTAAAGACAGATAAGATATCAGGGATTTTATTGAATATTAAATGGGAGATTAGTTATAAATGAGTGGTGTATACCAACACTAGGTAGGAGAACATCCACATGTTTATTCTACATCTACGGGTTCCAAGTCATACTGAAGCTGGGATAAAAGAGACAAGAACTAACAAAAAGAGAATTTGATGAATTAAGTTTGAGTTAATGAATTAAGTTTGTTTAATTAATTTTGAGGAGTGGGGAAGAAAACTTTCCCTCTCCCCTCCCTGTTCACCAATGAAACACTGAAATGCAGACACTCTAGTCAGGGTCCATTGCTGGTTTAAGGAACAGATCCGAATGAAATTAGTGAGAGTAGTTTTGATAGTCAAAAACTCAATATTCAAATCAACAGTTTAAGCCACTATATTGTGGTTAGAAAGACTTTCTGAAGCTAGTGAAATCTAATTAAATAATGGAGAGAAAGACAAGAGGCTATAGCCCCAACCATTGAAGTATTAAAAACATTACAGAAACAAAATCATTATTTTTTAATCAATAAATCATCATATTTTATGTCCAACTACCATAAGAGCATTTTGTGTCAGTGAATTCCATGAGGCAACAGACTTCTGCCTGGTCAGTCTTCAGGTTACCACAAAACAGTATGATAATAGTATCAACGACATCACTGGTTTTCACTGGCAGGATATTGAAATAAATAAAGACAGAGACCCTTCATACATACCCTACTTATCTCTCCACCAAGAGCAGTTGTAGACATGTTGTCAAACTTTCCTCCAAACAAAGCAATTGCTATAATAAGGTAGCTGAGAATTGCACCCACATAATCAAACATATTTATAGAGACTGCAAAATAACATAAAAGAAAGGTTGATCACAAATATTTTCATCAAATAACTGGTAATGCCAAGGACATGACCATGCAAGGCCACAAAAAGCCAAATAGTCAAGCTACATACAAGGACATGACCAAGGCCACAAAAAGCCAAATAGCCAAGTTACATATAAGGACATGACCAAGGCCACAAAAAGCCAAATAGCCAAGTTACATATAAGGACATGACCAAGGCCACAAAAAGCCAAATACCCAAGCTAAATGCAAGGACATGACCATGGCCATAAAAAGCCAAATAGCCAAGCTACATACAAGGACATGACCAAGGCCACAAAAAGCCAAATAACCAAGCTACATACAAGGACATGACCATGGCCACCAAAAGCCAAATAGCCAAGCTACATGTACATGCAAGCTGAAAGATAAGGAGAGGAAAGACAAAAAGTGAGGGTTATATGATAAAATGGTTATTGTAGTTTCAATTAGGCCCAGCTGGAGTAGAAAACATTTAGCAATTTGTCCTAAAATCATGACCTGGAGCCAAACATTTTCCCATCCAGCCCTCCGACTCAGTCAGTAAGTACATAAGAGTTACTCATTTGGCAACTTGACATAAATTTAATTTGATTTCTGATGATTTTACTATAATTTTAAAGAACTTACAGAAAAGGAAGCTCTCAAAGGTCACAATTCTGGTCTGAACTTTTATAAGTGACTAAAAA